CCTGATGGTCACACAAAAGGAGGTGGTGCACTCAGTGCAGCTGCTGCCACAAAAAGTCCAATTTTTTTCACTGGTACAGGAGAATATCTAGATGACTCTGAACCTTTCAAAACACAGCCTTTCTGGGGCCCGCACTGTGGTGCAGCAGGTTAATGCCCTGGCCTGAAGCTCTGGCATCCCATATGGGCACCGGTTCTAGCCCCGGCTGCTCCACTTCTGATCCAGCTCTCTGCTATGGCCTGGGAAAGCAGTAGAAGATGGCCCAAGTCCTTGGGCCCCTGCACCCACGTGGGAGACCCGGAAGAGGTTCCAGGCTCCTGGCTCCTGGCTTCGGATCGGCACAGCTCCGGCCGTTGAGGCCACCTGGGGAGTGAACCATCGGATGGAAGACCTCTCTCTCTGCCTCTCCTCTCTCTGTGTAACCCTGACTTTCAAATAAATAAATAAATCTTTAAAAAAAACTCAGCCTTTCATCAGCAAACTTCTTAGTATGGGTGACACTGAAGGACTGATAGATAAAGTCAATGAGTTGAAGTCGGATGACAATGAAGCACTTACACAGAAGTTGAAACAGTCAATTTTCACTAAGAGACATGTATAAACAATTCCTAAATATCATGAAAATGGGCCCCTTCAGCCAGATCTTGGGGATGATCCCAGGTTTTGGAACAGATTTTATGAGCAAAGGAAATGAGCAGGAGTCAATGGCAAGGCTAAAGAAATTGATGACAATAAAGGATAGTATGAATGATCAAGAACTGGGCAGTACAGATAGTGTCAAAGTTTTTAGGAAGCAACCGGGAAGAATCCAGAGTTGCAAGAGGATCAGGTGTGTCAACAAGAGATGTTCAGGAACTTTCGACACACTATACCAACTTTGCACAGATGGTAAAAAAAAATGGGCGGTATCAAAGGACTTTTCAAAGGTGGTGACAGATCTAAAAACGTGAGCCAGTCACAGACGGCAAAACTGAATCAACAAATGGCCAAGATGATGGATCCGAGATCAGGATTCCTCACATGGGTGGTACGGCAGGACCTCAGCCAGGATGAGGCAGTCTCAGCAGGGCATGATGGGACTCAACAGCATGCAAAGATGCCTTACTACAAACCGACTGAGGTGACTGCATTATTTGCTGAATCCTCAGTTTCCCTTCTTTTTGCAAATGGGAGAAAAAAAAACCAGTATTTTTCTTCCCTACCTTTCTTTTTCCCCCTCATCTTTCCCCCTCTTTCCTCTTCTATCCTTCTTTCCCTCCCTCCCTTTCATATAAGGGAAGAATATATGATCTTTGTGGAAATCATTGTACTTTTGCTTTAGATTTTCTTCTTAGTTTTCACCATAATAAAACTTAAGTCAATCAAATCATGATATAAAATTTTAGTGCTTAAAGGTTCTTAATTGTCTCAAAAGGCTGGGGCCGGCGCTGTGGCATAGTGGGAAAAACCGCTGCCTGCAGTGCCAGCATCCCATATGGATGCCAGTTTGAGTCCCAGCTGCTCCACTTCCAATCCAGCTCTCTGCTATGCCCTGGAAAAGCAGCAGAGAATTGCCCAAGTCCTTGGGCCCCTGCACCCACATGGGAGGCCCAGAAGAAGATCCTGACTCCTGGCTTCGGATCGGCACAGCTCCAGCCGTTGCCGCCAATTGCGGAGTGAACCAACGGGTGGAAGACCTCTCTCTGCCTCTCTTTCTCTGTATAACTCTGACTTTCAAATAAATAAATAAATCTTTTAAAAAATTGTTTCAAAAGGTCAAGCATTACATCTGGAAATAGTTCTGGTCAGTAGTTAAATGCTATCTTAATAAAAATGCTGTAAAATAAACTTAAAAGTGGTTATAAGTTAAAGGGTTGTTAACTTTCTTTATGGTTTAAAATGATCAGTGTATTATTGCACAAAAAGGTAGAAAAGCAAATAGATACATGTCATTTAAAACTATGCCTGGAAATATACTTTAAATGAGAAATATGGTAGAGTAACTTCACCATGAGTATTAGGTATTTTTATTTAACTTAGAATAATTGAGATAATTTTGTCATAGAAAATCTTAGCTCTGCCATTTAAACTGAGATTGATAATTTGATTACAATTCACAGTGCATAATATTTTGTATATAACTTGTGTTTTAACCTATTTGAAGTCTTAATGGCAATTCTTGTTTTTTTAAAGCCACTTTTACATTTCTTACATACCAAAAATCTACTTGAAGAAACAGATATACTTTGATAATATCAGCTAATGTATAGACCAAATAAGAAAATGTTGCAAGCATTGAGCTGTCATGATTATATATTAAGAACAATGAGACTATAAAAAAAAGCATTTCATGTAGGAGGCCATCTTTTTGGTGCAGTGGGTGAAGCCACTGCCTGTGAGGTCAGCACCTCATCATAGCAGGATTTGTGGATTTCTTTCTTTTCTTTTTTTTTTTTTTTTTTTGGTTGATTTATTTATGTCAGATAGAGAGGGAAAAACAGAGAGAGAGGTCCTCCATCCACTGGTCCGCTCACCAAATGGCCGCAGCAGCCAGAGCTGGCCCAACCTGCAGCCAGGAGCCAGGAGCTTCCTCCATATTTTTCACACGGGTGCATCTTCTGCTGCTTTCCCAGGCCATAGCAGAGAGCTGGATTGGAAGTGGAGCAGCTGGGACTCGAACTGGTGCCCACGTGGGATGCCAGTGCTGCAGACAGTGGCTTTACCTGCTACACCACAGTGCCGGCCCCCAGGTGACTTATTTCAAAATTGGCTCTGAGCCCAGCTAACGAGTTGAAAATGTTACGCCTCTAGGTGTCTCCTTTAGTAGCAATGAAAAGAAGAGAGCCTGAACACTTGGTCTGTCCTAGTCATTTTACATACCTGAGAGCAACTTCATAAAGTGGGTGGGTGCTGTGTTCCCATTTTACAGACCGGGCCAGTAGGGCAAGGTCAATGGTTTGCCACAGGGAACAAAGCTGTGAGTGTCAGATTCAAGGTTCAGACTGGCTTCGCACGTGTCTCCCACTCGGACTACAGATGGTAGAGAAACGTGTTGAATATTTGGGTTGGGCTAGCCTGGGGACTAGACCCTCTGAGAGAGGAGAGTTTTTAAAGGAAACCCAGCCCAGTCTTTCAGCGGGGCACTGTCTGTCCTTTTGTGCAGATCCCTAGCGCTCAGCTCAGTGTGGACGTGTGAGAAGGATGAGCTGGTTTGTTTCAGGACTAAAGCCTTCCCTTCCTCACACCCAGCCCCTGCGTGAAGGGAGGAATGTGAGGCTTCTGAGGCTGAGCCTAAGGACTGTGGTGTGCCTGTGCCCCTGATTCCTCCTCATGGTCCTGTGTTCTGTCAGTTGAAAGATTGATGAGAACCTGGAAACTTGGGAGAGGCAGCAAAGCAGCTTCTACAGTTCTGAAGGCCAGCCAGTCAGAGAATCAAGAAGTCCCCATAGGGGCTGGCACTGTGGCACAGCGGATTAACGCCCTGGCCTGAAGCGCCAGCATCCCACATGGGCGCCGGTTCAAGACCCAGCTGCTGCACTTCCAATCCAGCTCTCTGCTATGGCCTGGAAAAGCAGTAGAAGATGGCCCAAGTCCTTGGGCCCCTGCACCCGCGTGGGAGGTTCGGAATAAACTCCTGGCTCCTGGCTTCGGATTGGCGCAGCTCCAGCCGTTGTGGCCAATTGGGGAGTGAACCAGCAGATGGAAGATCTTGCTCTCTCTTTGCCTCTCCTCTCTGTAACTCTGACTTTCAAATAAATAAATAAATCTTAAAAAAAAAATTCTACAAAATGGCAAGTAGGGAGTTTCTCCTATACTACTGGGACTGATTCTTGTCCCTTCACATGGATACCCAGCCCTGGTTCCCCAGGGGCTCCAAATAGGAACTTTAAAAGAAAATAAAATTAGATAGGTAGAAAAGAAGGTAAAAGGTCCTCTATCCACATTTCTATCAGTGTTAACCAGTTTTAAGTTTCTTTTTTTTTCTTCAAGATTTATTTATTGTTTGAAAGAGTGATAGAGACAGAGAGATCGTCCATCTGCAGATTTATTCCCCAAGTGATCACAACAGCTGGATCTAGGCCAGGCGAAGCTGGGGGACAGGAACTCCATCCTGGTCTTCCTCATGGGTAGCAAAAGCCCAGGGACTTGGGCCATCACCTGCTGCCTCCCAGGCACATAGCAGGAAGCTGGATCAGAAGTGGAGCAGCTAGGACTTGAACTGGCGCTTCCATAGCAGCTTAACTCACTGTGCTGCACACTGGTTCCTGTTAAGTTTCTAGTGTAAGAGATCTTCAGAATTTTAATGGAGAATGTATATTATGAAAAGACTACATGGATTTCAAATATTTTTTGCACTGGGTCTTGAACTGGCATCCATATAGGATGCTGGTGTCCCAGGCAGGGGCTTGACCTGATATGCCACAACACCAGCCTCTCCATGAACTTTCGAAATAACCTTGTGTATCATCTCATAAATATTTATATAAATGTAAGTGTGTATATTTTTATATGCATACTTTTTTTTATAAAAATATTTATTTGAAAGGCAGAATTAGACAGAGGCAAAGACAAAGAGGTCTTCCATCCGTTGATTCACTCCCCCAAATGACTGCAACTGCTGGGGTGGGGCCATGCTGAAGCCAGGTGCTAAGAACTCCATCTGGGTTTCCTACATGGGTGACAGAGACCCAATTTCTTGGGTCATCTTCTGCTGCTTTCCCAGGCACATCAGCAGGGAGCTAGATTAGAAGTTGAGCCCCTGGGACTCGAACTAGCACTCATATGGGATTCCAGCCTCTCAGCCGCTAGCTTAATCTACTGTGCCACAAAGCCAGCCCCTGCACAAGCTTTTATATACACACATAATCCTTTTATTTTCTTAAGATTTATTTATTTTATTTGAAAGAGTTACAGAGATAGAAGGAGAGACATAGAGAGAGCTTCCATCCACTGGACCTGGCTGCAACCCCTTGGAGCCACCACCCCAGATGGGCGAGCGGCCCGCTCGGCGCGCTGCTTACCTTTCCCAGGGGCGGGTGCACGTCAAAGAAGAAGGTGCGGTTGATATAGTAGCTTCCCATTTTTCCAAAGTGAGTCTCATCCCAACTAAAGGAAAAGAGAAAGAGAAACAAGAATTTTTAAATTACCATAAAACTCAAATAGCCTTAATTAAGCATGGTTTAAATTACAGTTACAACCAAAGGCTGTTTCAAGCAATTAATAACAAAGTTTGAATTTAAAAAAAAAAAGCCTTTGACACAAGTGACTTGAGCAAGTTAGGCACCGAGCTGGTTACTGACCTTCAAGAAGACAGATGAGAAAGGTTAGGAAACATCTGCCAACCAGTTACCATAAATTTAAGCTAAATATAGCCTTACTCTGTGTCTTTAGTTTTTATATCTTTTAAAACTATCGCAGAGGCTGGCACTATGGTGTAGTAGGTTAAGCCTCTGCCTTCAGACTGGCGTCCCATATGGGCACTAGTTCACGCTCCTCTTCAGATCCAGCTCCCTGCTAATGCAACTGGGAAAGCAGTGGAAGATGGCCCAAATCCTTGGGTCCCTGTACCAATGTGGGAGACCAGAAAAAGCTCCTGGCTCCTGGCTTCAGATCAGCCCAGCTCCGGCCATTGCGACCATTTGGGAGTGAACCAGTAGATGGAAGACTAGTTTCTCTGTCTTTCGCTCTGCCTATAATTCTACCTCTCAAATAAATAAATAAACTATCCTATTTATTTTTTAAAAGCTTTATTTATTTGAGAGACACAGAGAGACAGAAAGAGAGAGATCTTCCATCTACTGGTTCACTCCCCAGATGGTAGTCAACAGCCAGCACTGAGCCAGGAGCCAGGAGCTGCTTCCAGATCTCCCATGTGGGTGGTGGGGGCCCAAGCACTTGACCCTCTTCTGCTGCTTTCCTAGGCCATTAGCAGAGAGCTGGATCGGAGGTGGAGCAGCCAGGACACATATAGGTATGGTACCTATAGGGGACGCCAACATCGTAGGTGACAGCTTAACCCACTTCACCACCATGCTGGCCCCAACTTTTTATTTATTTTAAAAGTAATATGTTTATAGTAAAGGGCTTATAAGAGTTTTATTCCAAGTCTGGTAACTCCTAGCTCTGAGAATATGTTTGCTATGTGAAAGTACATTACTACATTTGGGGGCTACTGGTCAGCAAGAGCCTTCAATTTTGCTCACAGACCTTGTGTTATGTAATTGCTGGTTTGAGTTAATTAATCTTATTTAGTGAGCTAACAGCTATATAAAAAGTTAAGGTTTTCTTACTAACTGAAGAGTATGTCTAAAACTTATCCATGGACTCTGTGGTGTAGGTGTAAGCAGGTAAAACCACTGATGCCAACATCCCATATGGGCACCAGTTTGTTTCCTATCTGCTGCACTTCTGATCCAGCTCCCTGCTAATGTGCCTGGGAAAGCAGCAGAAGAGGCCCAAGTGCCTAGGCCCCTGCAGCCACATGGGAGACCCAGCAGAAGCTCCTGGCTCCTGGCTTCGGCCTGGCTCAGCCGTAGCTGTTGCTGCCATCTGGAGAGTGAACCAGTGAATGGAAGACCTCTCTCTCTGTGTCACTCTGCCTTTCAAATAAATAAATGTTAAACAAACAAACAAACAAACAAAAACCCTATCTTCACCACCTAAGTTATTTTGCCTCTAATACAGACAGCTATCAGACACCATGTGGTCTTTCTCGTTCCTTCCTTGCTCTTTCCTCCCTCTCTCCTCCCCTCCGCTTCTCCTTTCACTCAGTGGCTCCTGGTTGGGCAGAAGCATCAACTTAATTCTGCACCTGCTGAGCACACTGCTTGACGTGAGCCGACAACACCGGCACAGTGAAGTCCAGGAGAGAGATCACTCCCGAGGAGTGTGACAAACAGCTCTGCGGAAGGAGAGCACGCCAGTTCTGGCTCCATCACACGCACCCCAGGCCTCACCTCTCGTCTACACCAGGAAGGCCATTGCGTCTCTGCCATGCCCCCTCCAGACAACCCACAGAAAGACTCGGCAGCCTGTGCCGCACCTCACATGCTGGGCTCCTTAGACTGCTCCAACTCTGCCTGCAGTTTAGAAGGCTACTTGGAAACCTACTGACTAAGAAGTACGAGGCTTTGCCTCCAAAAGTTTCCCAAGCTAAAGCAGCAGTTTTACTGATATGGCTTGCTTGTGCTGGGACAATCCTCCACAGTTCTCTTGTGCGCCCACAGGGCTTAAGGGTGTGGCAAGCACGCGAGGTCCTGACCCACCTTTACCCAGGCCATTCTCGGGGTTACACTTCCAGCAAACAGCCTTGCGGACAAAGCGGCGCCTCCTCTGGGACAGAGCGCGGCCTTGCTTACTGCCCTGCTGTCAACAGCAGATCCCCAAGCTCAATCTCCTCAGCTGTGCTGTAGCCACTGCCCTGCACACAGCCAGACCCCGGCCTCGCAGGAGAGTCTCCAGGCAACGAACCAAAGCCCATTCGCTGATGCACATCCTGCCTGCTCTAAGGAACAAAGTCGTTCATCTCTGCCCAGGACTGGGTCTTCTGCTGGCATCCATGAAACAGTGACGGGCTAACTTATTAGCCTGCAAGAGGTGAAGATAAAATTCCAGATCCTGAAAGTCTGGGGACAAGCACAGGATGGTGAAAGACATGTAAGTCTGTAAGAAACAGACAAGGGCCCCAGGAGCCGCATGAGGGACTGGACGACTCGTCCCTGGAGTCAGGTAGCAGCCTTTCTTGCCACAGGGCGGACAGTGGGAGTAGTAACCATTCCCACTATCCACCTGTTCAAGAGGCTGCCTGGAGTTGGTGGGGGAGCACTGAAACAGGCTGTCCAGACGCTGCCTTGGTTATGGTTCACTCTCCGCTGGACAAAAGCAGGCAGAGCTGTGCCCCACCAGAGGGGCAGCAAGCTTGACGGCCTGACCGAAAGGCAGTATGGATGTGGCTGCTGAGCCAGGAAGTTTCCAGAGCTTTACTAAACTGTGCAGGAATAAGGACTCTGCTAGTCAATGAAGTCTGAGTAAAATGAACACACAGAAAGACCCTAGTGGGGTTAAGGCCTCAAAAGTAAACATGCCTGCTTACTGGCTCAGGGCCACTCCCTTATGTCCCATGATCCCTCCTCCTCTCCCACCACCTCAGCTGTTTTAAGATGATGAAAGGTGGGGCCAGGGTTTCCATGTCTCCAACGGGGACTAAGGGCCATACACACCCACGCCAGTATGCTGGGGAACTCCAGGGAGGAGAGAGACTCCAACTCAGGGCTCCACTGTCCTCTCCATTCTTCCCAGCCTCCAGGGGGTGGAGGTACTAGGCACTAAGAACTGCAGGGGGAGCCTTAGCGGCACATACAGGCACCAGAAGGACACAGGTCCCCAAGCTCACTCACCCCACATCCAGCGGGGGCCACAGGGGGCAGAAAGCTTCTTCCCGCCTGCTGCATCCAGCACCCTTCACACTCCCCACACACCCCAGCTGGGAAATGGCATCATCCCCAGTGGCTGTCACTACAGCCCTTGTACAAGCCTGTTACCCTCATTAGCTCAAGGGGAGAGAGTACCCAAATTCAAGTGACAGAGTTGGAGCCAAGTTCCCAGTGGGGAAGGAAGCCGTGACCTTCCAGTAGGGTCCTTGGGGCCACATCAATGTACTATCGCTGTCGTTGCCACTGCAGAAAGTAGAGCTGGCGTTGACCCCAAGTGTCAAAGAGGATTATCCCATTCAAGGCCTGCTGCACGCAGAGGTAACCCCGCCCCGCCTAGTGATCCAGGAGAAGTAATACAAATCCCTGCAAGAGGAAGGGAAATCACAGCTTTAAGGACTCATCAGCTGCAGACTTCCTGAGGGGCCATTCACCAGGAAAACTGCGCCACCTGCTGGAAGCAGATAAAAAGTACATCCTTTTAAACGGCAACTATTAATCTACTGAGCTCCTGTTAAAATTAGGTTCCTGATCCACCAACACCTCAGAATTCTCGGGCCTGATATCCCCAGAATGGAGCAGGCCAATTTGAAGTCTACAGAAAATTAGGGAAGGGCTCAACAAGCCTCGCTGGTCTTGTGGGACATTCAAGAGTGCAGCCAGCCTGGCCCTAGAGGCATCTCAGCTTTACAGGAAGTAGCGGCTCCCCCTTTGGGAGAAACTGTCTTCCACCCCAGCACAGCCTGTGGCTCGGCAGAGCCTCTGATTCACGGACGTTTCTCTAAAAGCTTGTGCCTGATGCACAGATAGTAAGGCTAAGTTAAAAGCTGATGGTGTCCACTGAGCAGCAGCAGTCATCCAGCCCCAACGACAGTCCTTGGTGGGCTGAAGTATCAGGTGTGCACGCCACTCGGGAGACTAACTACAGAGATGAGATACCCCTCGCAACAGCTGAGAACTGTGGAAACAAACATGGCCGCCTGCCGATGGGACCGTCTGGATCATTCATGTAGTGCCTGCACTAAGGGCTGCTACGCTGGTAACACTGATTGGAATCAGACTGCTTGCTACCACAGCCACCAGGATCAACAACGCGCCAGGGTGGAAACACATCTAGCGCCAGAGACTGGGCAACGTGAAAGAACTGCTCGCTTCTGAAGCAGAGCCCACGGCAGCTCCCCAGACCCCTGCCAGAGCCTGGCCAGCGGGCCTTGCAGTAACGGAAGACACGCTGCGTGGCACCTGTCCACCCGCTCCTAGGAAACAGACCACAGCAGAGCTGGCTCCCTCCTCCGGTCGGTCACCGGCATTTCACTGGAGCCAATACTTTCTCGGGTTTCCCTGCTGCTGATGCTATTTCGGTCCAGTCATCTGACTCCAGATGTACCACTGTGGCCCTTGAACCTACACTTGGTTTTAGCTTTCCACATGTATCCAGTCTGACAATGATGCGCCTTTTTCTCACGATGGTCCCACATACTGGGCCACTAGCCAAGGCACTGACGGCCACTCCACATTCCCTACCACCTACAGACATGCATATTGCCGCACACTGGACCGTCTCCTCAAAAACCAACTCAACAAGATGGCGGACTCCACCCCTCACCTCCTCCTGCTCCACACCCCCCAGTAAAACAGTTCCATCACCTAATGCAGTCATCCTCAGGAAGTTCCTCTCCTCTTGGCTGCCAGGCAAGCAACAAACAGGAAAAGGGGGTGGGGGGGTTCTATGCACCTGTCTATTCCCTGAAAGAAACCCCGGATCAGCCCCAGAGGGCTGTTCTAGGGGACCAAACCCTAGCTCGGTCACGTGGACTCATCCAGGAGCAGCGGGGCCCCGGAGCATGAAGACAGCGGTCACCTGGTTGTGTGCACTGCTGTTTCAGGTCTCCACAGGAGCCCACACGTGTCGAGGTAGAAGACATGATGACACTGTGGCCATTTCTGCCCCTGGATAAGAGCAGGGGAGAACTGAAGAGAAGGTACAGTTACAACACTGAGTGTGGGGGACACACTAATCACGTGGCAGTGAAAGGAAGCAAAGAACCCCAACCCCAGAGAAGGAACACCCTAGATCCCTGGAAATACAAAGAGAAGGGAGACACCTAGTGCTCACTTGATCCCCCAGGTCCAGCACCAAAGGCCGGCTAACCACCCAATGCTCACTTAAATCAAGTGGCAAGTAGCAGCCTGTTCTGAGTTTGTCACCGCACTAGGAAAACTGAAAAACCCATGTGGATATGGTCTGACTGGAACTGTTCTGATGTGCCTGACGTCACACAACCCCCAGACCTGGGTCACCCCAGCACGTGTGCAAACATGTGGGTCAGCACCAAACGCTACCAGTGTGACGGACAGAAGTCACACCCTTTCCCTGATGTCCTGTACAATGATTGGCAGTGACACTGCCCGTGTGACTTAACCAACCCAATGTAATGATGAGCTAAATTAAATTTAACGGTGATCCAAATAAAATATAACACAGGGCGCCGAGCAGAGCGCTCTGCACCACTTCAGGTAGCAATGCTGGAATGGGCCATGAGACGTCTTCCCGCCGGGCCTACTTGCTGTTTCCCCTGGGAGTCGGGGGTGGTTATTGGCAAAGGCAACGGAGATCAGAGGTCACTCCAAACTCCCATGCACAGGTCATAATGAACACACTGGCCTTAGACTACATCCCAGTTCCCTAAAATAAAAACTCACTGCCCCTCCACGCCAGCTTATTCACAGGTGGCTGAACCCAGAATGCCAGAGGGCATGGTTGAGGTAAATACCATAGGTTGGCCCCACCCTGCTACTTAGAGACCCACTGAGAGTAGCCTTAAATGCTGAGGCGAACTGAACAGATATGGTATCACTCCGTGGCCGAATTAACCATTTTCAAGTAGTTTACCTTTTCCCCCTTCCAGCTGGAGACCATGATCATCTGGGTCGTACCAAATAAAACCTTTCAGAAAACAGATTCCTTCTCACAGGGCAGCCCCCGGCCTGCCTCCTGACACCCTGCTCTATAGGAGGGAGGTGCCCACTAAGAACCTTTCCCCTCTGCTAATGCCTGAAAAGCCTGCAGATTAGGAACTCGGGCCGTGCCAGATCCTGCACCAGGAATTCCCAATTCCCTGGGGAAAGTTCAAAACACCTCTGAAAGCTACCATCTCGGAGGCAGGTGAGACACTCCAGCACAACCTGGGAGGCATGGACACTGCTCCCTTCAATCCTAAGAATCCCACTGCCCCTCCCCACCACCGGGGCAAAATCGTTTTCCCGCGCACACAAACTACACCTCACAGGGGCCAATCTCAGGTTCCCCTCCACCGCCGCCCCGCCCCCTACGCGTCCCCAGGCCAATCAGAGGGCACTTCCGGTTGCCATGGTGACCGTCGAGCTCGTCCAGTCGCTCACCAGATGTGCCGCGGCTCCTCCAGACGGTGGAAGCGGGTGGCGAAGGACAGCAGCGTCACCAGGGCCAGCGGGACCCACCGGCCGACCGCCTCGAAGCGCCACGAGCCCCGGGCAGGCCGTTTGGGGCTTCGCGCCGCCGCCTCAGTACCCGCGGCCCTAGCAGCCTGGGAGGCACTGCGGCCCCTCCGGGGACGCGGCTCGGGCCCGGCCAGGCCTCCGCCCATGGCCGGCGGCATCCTCCCCCTCCTCAGGACCGCCCTCCGGCCCGGAGGCACGCTCGGTCTCGTCAGCCACCCCGCCGAGGAGTCACAGAAGAGCAGCTCGGGGTGCTCTGGGAAGTGTAGTTCCCTCCGCCGGCAGCGGAACGCGGAGCCCCGGGACTTGGGCGGGGCGGACAGCGTGGTCGCCGCCCGGGCCGCTAGGAGGCGGCCAGTGGCGCAGAGCATGTCGGGGCCGGGAGGGCTCAGGGGCCCGCAACTCGCTGCGGCTCCGGGAGTCGGGGCGTGGCCAGGGGGCGGGCCGGGGCCGAGCCCGGAGCGCGGGGAGAGCCCATTCCAGTCCAGCCCTCGCCCTGTCCAGACGGGAGCCGCGGGTCCTGGGCCGTAGTCGTCGACGAGTCCCAGGCGCTAAGTGTCTTGGTCTGGAAGAGGGGTCGCCCGAAGTGTAAGATGCAAGCGGCCAAGGTCTGTGCCACGCCCCTCTGGGGAGACGTTCGCTAGGAAGAGAAAGGGAGATCCCCTGGGGGCGAGGTCAGCGTTAGCCCGCCGCGCTCTGCCCACAGCTCCGGCAACGACTCCCAGCGTACAGTGCGCCGCGCATGCGCGCTGCTGGCTGGCCCTTGTGGTCCCGGGAGTGGCGGGTTCTAGGAGGCGTCCTCGCTCTAGCGCGTGGGGCGGCGTGGATTCGCCGCGTTCTCTGTCGCCTTTTGTCTCCGCCTCCCGGTTAATGCACGGCGCTGCGAGCTCCTCTCTCCCTAGGCGTTTGCATTTTCGGAGCGCACCCAGGAAGCATGGATGCGGCGCTCCAGAGCCGCTGTCTCCGGTGGCACCGGCCTAGAAGCCGGTTACATAAGCGGCCCGGATGAGTCCTGTACGCCCTAAGATTTGCGAGCCCCTGTTGTAGCTCTGAGGAAGGTGGGGCATTGCATCCCGCTGATAATGCCTAGCCCCCACATTTGCAAGTGGAGTTTTGCTCTAATACCGTGTGTAAGAGACGATTTAAAAATAACACCTGCTAGGGTCATCAGAAAGCATATTTGAATTGGAAATAGTCCTTCCAAGAGCACTGCTAAGATGGATACTTTATGCAGGCCTAAATTTGAGCTTTACAAGTACAATAAAGAAAGGGCCAGCACCGTGGCATAGCAGGTAAAGCCACCGGTTCCAGTCCTGGCTGCTCCACTTCTGAGTCAGCTCCCTGCTAATGCACCTGGGAAAGCTGCGGAAAATGGGTCAAGTCCTTGGGCCCCTGCACGCATGTGGGAGACTCAGATGAAGCTCCTGGCTTCGACCATCAGCCTGGCCCAGCCCTGGCTACTGCAGCCAGTTGGGGGTGGGAGGTTTGTGGGGGGTGGGGGAGTGAACCAGCGGATGGAAGATCCCACCCCGCGCCCCACCTCAGCCTCTTTGTGACTGCCTTTCAAATAAAGAATTTTTTTAAAAAAGTACAAAAAGAAACATGATGTGCAGCAGTCCCCCTTTACCTGTGGTTAACTGCAGTCCAAAAATATTAAAAGGAGTATTCTAGAAATTATAAGTTTTAAAATTGTGCACCTTTCTGGGTAGTGTCATGAATGCCTGCGCCACCCTGCTGTGTCCTGCAAAAATATTTATTTGAAAAATAGAGTTACAGGGAGAGAAAGAGAGACCTTCCGTCTGCAGGTTCATTCCCCGAATGACCACAATGACCAGGGCTGGGCCAGGTGGAAGCCAGGAGCCAGGAACAACTTCTAGGTCTCCCACAGGGGTGCAGGGGCCCATCTTCTGCTGCTTTCCCAGGTACATTAGCAGGGAGCTGTATCAGAAGTGGAGCAGCCAGGACTTGAACCAGAGCCTGTATAGGATGATGGTGCTGCAGGCCGTGGCTTAACCAAGTATGCCACAGCACCGGCCCCTATAAATCTTTTTAAATAAACTAAAATAGAGATGTTCCTCGCTTTACAATGGGATTACATCCTGGTAAATCCATTGTAAGTAAACGGAAAAAATACTGTTAAGCTGGAAATTCATTTAGTTTGCCTAAGGTACCAAACATTGTCGCTTACTTAGCCTTGCCTGCCTGTTCCAGAGCCGTGGGTGTGTGCTCAGAACACTTAGATTAGCTATGGTTGGTCAGAGTCATCTACTGCTAAGGCTATCCTGGAGGAGGGTTGAAGACCTCAGCTTCACAGATGGGCACACTGTGCACGTGATGGGATGCGGGAGCACAAAACACAGCATCTGAGAAACGGCTGCCACACGGCTAACCATGGCGTACTAGAGGTTCCTCCTCCTGATCGTGTGGCTGGGAGCTGAGGCTCACGGTGGCAGCCCAGTATTGGGTGAGAGGAGGGGACAGGACAGATTTCCGCTGTGTGTATATCACTTTCACACCGCTGTACCATGCAGGCTCAGACAGAGCCCCTGGGGGCTGCCAGCTTGTGACCTCACGTCCAGGGTGAATGTCAGGTGTTTTATGTGGCCAGCTGAGCATCTGGGAGGAGTAGTGGGTGGGGGGATTGAAGGAGAGGGGCACCAAAGCATTGGAAAACAAAATGGGAATTGCTGGCCTTTGTGCCACTGTTGGAAGGGAACTATGCATCGTTTTTTTTTTTAGGGCAACCCTTTGTTTTACAAATGAGGGAGCTGAAGAGAAAGGAGTGTGTCCAAGCCTACACAGCTGGTTCCTACTCTGGATCCAGACCCCAGGTTTGGCAGCTCCCAGCCCACTCCACCACATAAGCTACTGCCCCAAAGCAGGCCACACTGGCTCCCAGGACACCAAGCCTGTCTGCACCTGGTGCATCAGAAACTGCCTTTGAGTTGGAAAGAGATGCCCTTTCCGACTCGAGTCAAAGTTCGGCTGACGCCTATCCAGCCCTGCGTTCCCATTGGCTCATAGGGTCCACCCCTTCAGGGTCCCTCCCCCAGCCCTGCAGCTCCCTGAGGGGACTGTTCCCTAGGAGGTCAGAGATCACTGGGGCAGCATGATGGAGTCTAGCAAGGTAAGGAAGGCACTCCCAGGCTAGCTGCTGTGCCGGGGGCCACTGGACCTGGGGCACTTGGTACCAGCACCATTTGGAGCTGAGGGACCTCATGTGGCCCTCAGGGCCTCTGACCCAGAGAGCTGAGTCTGGCCCAAATTGCCCAGACAGAGGCCTGAGGAAGGAGGCCTGGCGGGGTGGGAAGAAGACGTGCTGGCTGGTGCCTCCTCCCAGGGGGACCCCACCGAGCCTGGGTTCACGCGCACCCTTGTCCTCTCTCTTGCCAGCCCATCCTCTATTCCTATTTCCGAAGCTCCTGCTCATGGAGAGTTCGAATCGGTAAGAGGTGCAGCTCTGCCACGCTGAGCATCTGGGCAGCATGCAGAAGCCCCAGGGGGTTGAGGGGGCTCCTGGGGTGCCTAGCCCTGAATGGCACTGCACCAGGAAGTGTAATAGGAGGGCGGAGGTGGGAGGAAGTGGATTGTTTCCCCCAGGGACTGCCTGTTTGCCCGACACTGCTCTCCCTTAGCAACTGCGCTTGAAGCAGGCTCACAAAATCCAGAGGTCCCTGGCAACTGGCAGAGGAACAGCTGGCCTCCCGTGGTTCTGTTTGATCTGGCAAGTTAAACAGAATGGGACCAGCGTCCACGGCAGAGGCTTCGGGAAAGCAGAAAGTAGGGCGTCCTGGTTTAGTTCTGGCCCCCCCCCCCTCCCTTGGCCTACCCCAGCCCTTAGCAAGCTCATGGTCATACAGAGGAAGAGCTCGCTGAGCGCTTTCGCACACATGATTCAGTTTACACCTCTGCAGCCTAGAAAGGGAAAACTGAGGCCCAGAGGCCCATGAAGTTAACTTGCCTGGGGCAACACAGCTAGCAAGTGAACGTAATGCGGTTTGAACCCAAGCAGCCTGCCTCCAGAGCCAGGCCCTAAATACACACCCATTCCCTGAGACCCCTTCACCTCTGTCCTGCAGTCACTTGAGACTTGCTGGGATCATTGAGCAAGAGCTGACACCCCTGGCTCTGGGCCGCGGAGCCTCTGCCCTGGCTGAGCCAGAATCCAGAGCAGTAGGAGCGCCAGCCTGCTGTGTCCTCCCCGCCTGTGCCCCAGCCACGTCCACTCTCCAGGGGGAGCGGAGCACCGGCCGAGGAGGAGCCCCGTATTTTCCAGGCCCTCCTCACACTGTGACACACCTCAACTTCCTCCCCTCACTCCTTTGCCCTTACCCAAGGCCAGCCACCAGTGGCCCAGAGCAGGGTGCAGAGGTGAACAAGACACAGCCCTCTATCTCTTGAGGGGAGTGCACAATAATCCATAATGTAGATGGTTAAATGTAAATGATTTGTTGGTTTGTCTCTTTTCCCAGCCTGAGACTCTAGTCCTGTACATTGGCTTAACTTCCTAGCAAAACTAGCTACTAGATATCCAGAGGAAAGCAAAGCATAGCTAGTCCATTAGAGTGTTAATTATTTAACCCTTATCCTCACCCCTGGGGAGAGAAAACCAGCCCCAGAGAGGATATAGGCCATGCAGCGAATTCCTACTTCTGCAAACTTCAGGCAGTCCCAGTTTTTCTCTATCAGGTTACAGGTTCCTAGATACAGGGAAATAGCACAGTAAAAAAAAAAAGACACAGCCCTGCTGTCCAAGGGCCCAGTGTGCCTGAGCACACACCCTTAAAGCACCACCTGGGGGGTGTGAAGGCCACAAGTTCAGGATCAGAGGCAGAGAGAGCCTCAGGCACTGGGGTGGCAGGTGGGGGTGACAAGGAAAGCTGGGGAGCAAATGGTGCCAAGTTGGGCCTTGGCCACACGGCAGGGCAGAGAAAGCTGCCCATTTGCAGCCTCACGTGCCGGGAGGGTGGTCTTCTTGGGAGTGTAGCCAGAGGCTGACCCCAGCTCTGCTGTCTCTGGTCTCTCCCAGCTCTGGTCTTGAAAGGCATCAACTACGAGACGGTGCCCATCGACCTCATAAAGGACGGGGGGCAGCAGGTAAGGAGGCAGTCCCCAGACTGCAGTGTGGGAATCAGAAGCCTTGGAGAGGTGCCAGCAGCGGTGTCTGCTCCCTAGAAGTGAACCTGCTAGCTCGCCCTCATGGGACAAGGCGGCAAGCTGTGCAGTAGTGGGAGCCAGGGGCCTGTCTCTACCAAAGCTTGGGCTCTTCAATGCTTGACCGCAGGAGGGTGGGTCCTTGCCCTGTACTGGGCCCCCTAGCTGGCCGGCGGGGGTAAGAGCCACCTCAGTGACCACCATGTGAGATGCAGGG